TTGATCCTTTTATTGAATCATGGGCATTGGTGGGAATAATTCTATATCAGAATCACAGAGAAAATCGTAATATTGTTCATACAACTTGCACAATTTCATTAAACGGTGAGAAAAGTATGATTGCATAGTGGACGAGCTCCTCCTTTATTACATAGAAGACCTATATATGCACGAAAAACATGGGAGGATGTATAGAGGAACAAAGAGTGTACATAGTATAAAAGAAGCGTGGAAATTGTTTAAAACACAGAGGGAAACCTAATTACCTGACGAAGATTTGGCGCAGCTGTGTGACACTGTGGCCGGTGAGACTTTCATGGGCATCATAGCGAGTCGGGCATCAAATTAAACGCCGTCTTACTTGATGGCCACAAGAAATTAGGTGTCGCTCGTCGTATTTGCACGTTTTTTTTCATCTTAATCACTTCATTCTGGAGAATTTCTTGTTCTTCACCGATTTCTCGTCTTTTACTAACATTTCGAACTGGTGAACGATTGAGATTTCGCAGTACTCGCGCTATTTTTATACCATTTCAGCCATGTCGAGAGAATAGGATTATTATAAAAGATCAAAAAGAGTCGCCATCGCTGGGTAGTGCACAGGTGAGCGCTCAGACTTCAACTCCATTGTAAGGAAGCCTGAGTCATCAACCAATGCAATGAACTGAATGAGAGGTGCTGCGAAGATTTTGTGTACATTTGCAAGTCCTAGATGACTGTTTTTATAGAGAAAGACTATGTCTATTATAAATGAAGTTTATCTCACTTACTTTTCATCTTCCGTTCTTCTTTCTTTTTTTTCATCTCATCATTATCTTCATCATTTCATCATTATTATTGGTTAGTTGTACATTATCGATTTTGACTTCAAAGTTGTGTTCCTTTTGTGTGTTGTTCCGTAATGTTTTTTTCTTATTTTAGTGTCTTACTATTTCATTATTGTATTCTTTAAATATTGTACTGTTTACATATCCACTTTTTAGATCCTTTAATACTTCTGCTGTTTTTTAAATTTATTTTGAAGATTGCACCTCGGTTCCACATTACAGGTTTCCTTCATTCGTCATGTAGTACGGTTTTTGAAGCAATTGAATATTGAATAACGGTTTGAAATCGTCACTATCAGTTTACTTAGGTCCTAGGAGGATTTTTCGTGGGCTGTGCTCAAATTGTAGGCCGATCTGCGTTACTTTGTTACGACTTTTATTGTTGATTTTTTCCATTGTTCGTTTCTATTCTATAAAGCATCCTTTCATTAAATAAAGAAGAGAATCTGCATATTTTTTTTAGACTTCATGGAGTTGCTGACGTCTAGCAGCGTAAAGAGCAAGGTTTGAATGACATGAATGTCTTCCTTTAAGTAATAGGGTTAACACTGGGTCATGTTTGCAGCAACGTATTTGGAACCCGAGGAGTGTAGTAAGTCTCGTCGATATCTATCGAAAAATAATATTAACTGGGCAACTATCGAATTTCGTCAAACACCGGTGGCTTTGTGGGAGCGTTGGAGCTACGGGTTACTTCGTAAATATTTCCGAAAAATGGATAGGTAGTGCTAGCAAGACAAAGTGGAACGTAGCGGTACACAATATGTGAAGAACTGAGGCGTGTGGTATGGACTTCGACATCATGTTGCGTATTTGCTCTGAAAAAGTTCTGTATTTGGCTTTCATGTCTAATAGACACTCATACACCATTAATAGCCTGTGGATAGCCAGATGTACCGGGGAAGTCTGCGCAGACGGTATCTGATATGTAGCCCTCCCTGTAAACTCGTAACTTGAGCGGTAACCAGTAATGGTCACAGTTCTCAGTAGTGATGGAAATTAGGAACTTTTTAGCATCTCTGCCTGACAAATAGTCCATGCCTAGAAACATTTATAGATAACTTCAATGATGCTGAGATATTCGCAAATCCCGCTGTCGCGTGATTGCTGATGGCAGAGATCGGTAGAGCTGACTGAGAGACAGGCGAAACGAAGGACCCGCATGGTGTGGTAGTGGGCGCGTTAGCCCCCGGAAAGGAAAGTAGCGCGTTCGTTCCTCACCGCAAACACCCGCGGTCCGGAGTTTTGCAAATAGCTCAGCGTCATTGAAGTTATATTTTCCAATATACCTTGCCATTAAAAAGAGTAGGCAGTAAATAAAACGGTTAGGGTTGTATTTATGGATATTTTCATTGGGCACAGCCTGGGTGGATTTATTAATTAGTAACTTCTTCGTTTCTTTCAGAGCAGACATGTGAATTTTTCTTGAAGGACAAGCTTACTTTCTTGCTGTACATTGTTGGCGGCCACATACTTGCAGGATTTTACGGAATTGACAGCACTATACGGTCTCAACGGTTGTAACCAAAAGTGGAAATAGAAATGAATTCTATGAGGCTTTCTGCACAAAGAAACACTCCTGTCGCGTTTAGGTTGACACCCTGGCGGCATTTCCACTAAGATTCACTTAACCCCACAACCACCAACATGAACGCTTTCCTTGTATAATGTGCGAATAAGAGACTGTTGTGCTCCGGTCTACTATCAAACTCCGGCCAGACGACACGGTTTTTCGGATTTGCTTTAGCTTGAAATACAGACGCGTACAGCATTAGACGGGTGAGACGCGTGTTAAAGTCACGCATGGGATCGAACCAATGGCAGAGCATTGGAGTTGGCGCAGGCTAACGCTGTGCTATATGCACCACTGCCCTTACTACCGATGTTAGGTGTAAACCGATCGACCACACTATTCTAAGAGCTTAATTTATGACGATACACATTGACCTGGTGCTCACGGTCCTTAGGATCTGATATTTCAATCGTTGGCAAGTTATCGTACAATGTATAATAGTGCCAAAATTTGAAAAAAAAACAGTCATATCTATACACTGGTTGCGATTTTTACTTGAACTATTAAAACTAGTACTCGTGAAATATTCTGTTTCCACAACCGACTTTCTCTTAACCTCGGCATCGTAGGATGCCTCCGACCACTGTGATATGCGCGCCACGATTCAACTTAAGGATTGAAAACGGGAAAAAAACGAGTTGCTCTTCAAAAACCATGGAGCACACAGGTTTATGGGAGATGGTTAGGAGTCGCATCCAACAAATAAGCTCCATGTCCAGTTTGGGAGAGCCTGGCAAGCTACTCGTGAATATACCCCGCCCCACGTTCAGAGCTCAGCAAGCTATACGTGGGTATCAAAATGCTAAACACAGTAAAAAGAACGGACCTCATTCCGCTGACCCCGAAAGAGCCCCCAATTTCACGGCGTTCAGGACGATTACAGAGAAGCTGCTAAAACTTCAGAGCCAATGGAAGCTACCTGGACTACAAACAACTAAGGTGACGATCTGTACCTACAATGCATGCACACTTGCATCCGGGTCCTCGATAAAAAAACTTGCTCATGCAAGCAAGAAGGATAAGGTACGCCGTCACCGGCCTGGCCGAGACGAGACGACGCCACCCGTTCAACGCCCTCTATGACACCGGAGAAGAACTGTCCCATGGAACGTGCGACAGTAGAAGAGTTGGCACCGTCGGGGTTGTCGTCAACACGAGTTTGCCTATGAGCATCGATTCATTCGAACAGCTTACAACCCGAATCGGAAGTTTACGATTAAAAAGATGTGGATCAATACCGACTTTCACAAATTTCCTCGTTTACGCGCTGACATCAAGCTATGAGTAAGAAGAAGTCCAAGCGTTCTAATATGGACTTGGCGAAGTTCTACAGATAAGACCATACATTCTTCAAGGTCATCATTGGAGATTCCAACGGTAAGACTGGACCGAGAAGAACGTCTGAAGAACGTCACATTGGGACCCACAGATTAGAATGACTGAGTTTATCATGGCGACAGAGACCACTCATGGTAGCTCGCAATTCCAGAAGCCACAAACTCAACGCTGGACGTGGGAATCTCCCAATGGAGAGCACCATAACGAAATAGACCACATCATAGTAAATAAAAGGTTTTGCCTAACCGATGTCGCTGTTGTCCCAAAATTCTACACGGGATCAAACCGTCGCCTCCTTCGTGCAAGATTTCATTTTTCGCGGAAAGAAGAAAAAGCAGCTAAACTCCAAAACCGAAGCCACAGAACCACCGCAAACTGGGACTTATTCAATTCATTAGTCGGCTGTTGGGAAGATGCCGTTGTTGATAACATCGACGAGGAATACGATCGACTCATTCAACATCTTCGCGTTAGCGCTATAAAAGCTGAGAGTTCGAAAGTCACCAAGAGACGACTGTCTCCAGAAACACTCGAGCTGATACGCCAGCGTGGAATCGCACGAGATGCAGGCAACCACGAAACAACGTTCGAACTTGAAAAACAAAACAGACAGGCCATAAAAGAAGATCTTAAAGAGAGAAGAGCAGCAGTAATGGCCGAAACTGCAGAGGCTGGAAAAAGCATTCGCATAGCCCACCGAAGCTTGCCAATTACAAGACCAAGATGATTGCCCTCCGACGCCCAAACGGAACTGTTATGGCGTCCAGAGAGGCAGTGGAGGAAATCATTCACACGATATCGGCAACTATCGCCTAATATGCTTGCTCTCTGTTGTCTACAAACGTTTCACTTGAGTCATTCTAAACAGAATTCACAGAACACTGAACGAAGGACAACCATGTGAGCAAGCAAGGCTTCGAAAATGATTTAGTACGATGGACCACATCCACACGATAACAAACCTCAATGAAGTATCGCGAGAGTACAGGAGACCGCGCTGTCCCACTTTCATCGATTTACAGAAGGCCTTTGATTGAATTGAGATAGAAGCAGTCATGGAAGCCTTTGATAGTCAAGGACTCCCTACTCAGTACATGAAGACTTTTCCTTAGCTGTGCAAAAATTTCACAACCAAGGTATCACCATTCAACAATGATATTAACATTTACGTCAAAAGAGGAATTAGGCAAGGCGATACCATCTCGCTAAAATTATTTACTGCCACCCTCCAGAACGTTATACGAACACTGGAATGGGATAATATGGAAGCAAAAATCGATGGTAGGCAATTTCACCACCTTCGCTTTACTGATGACATCGTCTTTATAACACCAAACATTAGTCAAGCAGAACATATGTTTGCCGACTTTGATAAAGTCTGTGGAAAGATTGGTCTCCGACCGATGTTGATGAAGAACGGATTAGTTTCGCATGTCCCATTCGCGCTCAACGGAACGAATATCTCCGAATGCTCCAGTTATATCTATCTAGGTCGGGAAATCAATACGATGAACGACTTAGCTCCAGAGCTGAGCAGAAACAAACAAGCGGCTTGTGGAGCTTTCAAGAGCATCAAGGATGCAGTGAACATAACAAAGAATACCCGACTCCATGCCCACCTTTTCGACTCAACGGTACTTCCTGCCCTAACGTATACGTCAGAAACCTGGTCGCTACGTAAGCAGGATGAAAGATCACTCAGCGTTTTCGAACGCTCAGTCGAAAGGACGATGCTAGGAGTACCTCGTTTCACACAAGTAAGGGATGGGATCCGAAGCACCGATCTGCGCCAACGATCAAAAATCAAAGATGCCGTTCTGTACGCGAAACAGTCGAAGATAAGGTGGGCCGGACACGTAATGCGTATGAATGACAACCGATGAACAAGAGCCGTTAGTGACTGGATTCTTCGGGATGTCAAACGAACTGCAGGAAGAGCACCGATGCGGTGGTCAGATTTCTTCACGAAGAGCCTAGAAGAAGGATATGATGGTCGACGAGTCCCTAGAGCGAACAGAACCCACTGGGTTACTCTTGCACGCGACAGGGAAAAATGGAGGATTTACTGACGCCCGCTCGGCTCATTCGACAATCAACTGGACTACAGGTGACGCAGGTGATACAGCACACTACATGCGATGTCAGTTCATGGAAGTAGAAGCTTTCTTGCCCCTCTTCAATGGTCAAACTTTCTGTGCAGCACACTCTATTAAACAGCAACAGCCACTGAATGCAAAGTGTGAAATTAAATGGAATATAGAATACATACTGTATAAGAAGACATACTCCCTTCGACGAGCTGTGGTTTCACAATTGCATTGAATACGCTACGATATACATTACAATAAGTGTAGAAAAAATCTGTGCAACCGAAAATAAAAGTATGGAACGATAATGAGTTCTACTGAGGTCATACCGGCCACTGTGTCTCACTACAGATGACGTCCACGAAGGCCACGTCTTCGCGAATGTGCTAACTGGGACACAAATATTTATTCTCGCATTAGAAATCATATAAGCACGCTTCACAGGTCCAAAATGTTTTCCACTTATCGAAATAGCCAAACTTCTCTTAGTAAATTTGACTTTGAAGATGTTCCAGAAGATATAGGTGTGATCATTTCGAGATCTTTGTTAAAGACTAGCCTGCTGATGTAGGTGCTCTCTAGTCATTGTGCTCTTGGCAAAGTCAGAAATAGCAAAACGTCAAACTTATAGATTAGCTATGGAAAATAAACGGATTGTTCAACATTTGCAATATCTTTATGCCTCTTTTCGAGTGCCATTTTCATTTTCGAGTGAGTACATTTGCCAATTTCTTCATGGATGTGGTTACAAAAAAACCGCATGACGCAGAAGCCACTGCACGAAAGAGCATTCGCGATATTTTAAGGGAAATTCCCGGTAATTGCTCCATTGAAATCGTACCGTTGCCGTATCCCTATTTCTAACTTATGGAACAGCAACCCAGACAGTAGAAAGCTAGAATTGATGGTTTATCCATTTAAATAACCTAAGGACGGCGACAGTAAAATTCAGTTCCTAGGTTATGATGTTTCAAGTAATGCAGTTAGAAAGCTACTAGTTGTTTCCGGGTGCAGGGTAACAAAATACATAGGCAAAATTTTGGTCAGTAACAAAAAAACAGCTGCACCAGAGAAGGAACTGTTTTAACTCTGGTGACATATGACATATGCATTAACTGAGGAAGCCAAAGTGGAAAGATAATTTGACTGATGATTGATTGATTTGATTGATTTTAGAGATGAAGGATAAGACAAAGAGAAAGATGGAGATGGAAAAATGAAAACAGAGAAAGAAAGAGAAAGAGAAGCCTTTCCAACAAAATGGTTTGAAACTCGAGGCACATAATGGTACTGTATTATCTACAGTATTGCTCTCACACCCAAAACATACACTTTTTTTGGAATTATTCCTATGCCGCAGTAAAGAACTTCCACTCCTTTACATGATGGCCTTTAAGTTATAGACAGAAGTTTAGCAATGGCAGTCCACGGGAAACACGTGGTCTAGTTTTCTCCACTACGCTATTCTTAAAGTTACCTTGCTGTGGTTGGTTGGAAAAATCTTAACTCCTTGGTCAATTAGCATTTAAACCTTACACGACATGAACTTACGTCACATCGGAAATGTCGGTCAAGAGGTCAGGATGGTCGGAAATTTCCAACTCACCAGACTTCTACAGCGCAGCAGAAAGAAATGTCTGCTTGCTACACAAAAATATCACGAAAAGAAAACATGAAGTGGTTCTTCAAAACACACCTTGACTATTTCCTTCACCTCACTACCACCATCTCGTTTGATGGTAACACGGAAACCATCAGGTGCGATAACGTCAGCATGAAAATATCAATGAATAGAAACTACTTTTCGATGTTATGAACACACGTCTCTTCTAACCTTGTAGGGAGTTTTCCTCGTTAAATGATCAATTACCAACTGAACATCTGCTGTATCGTGAAAGCACACTTCCATAGCAGGAAGAAACTTGATTTTACCGCGATACCATTCCTATTTATGAGGAAAAAAAACGGCTGAATACTAAAAGCCAGACAGAAAAACTGCTGAAGTTACAAGCAAAACGCTGGAGGTATTACAAAGAAAAACCAAATCTCAAACATAAATTCAACCTACATTGATAATATGAGCAATAACAGATACATTCAGGTTTACAGGATCGTGCAAAACAACACGTCCAACCTCCTGTGTTAGTAGGCATCGATAATCCGGGGATGATAGATGGAAGCCACCAGCTGTGGAATAGAACGATACCTGAAGGTTAAAACAGCAGATTATCACTCTAATTTTTATTCGCCACATAAAGTATAAAAGGATAAAACCCCAAGCGCTTCGGATGCGCCATTCATTCGACTTCATAAAGCATCGTTTAGAAGCCATATGCATGTGTGGCCTTTACAATGACTCGTGGTGGCCTAGGGATGTATCGAGCCAGTGCTGCTATCCTCCCAGACAAGTCTGATACCAATTTGCCGACCCCGGAGGTATGGGAAGCTTGATGCGCCTTAGGAGCGGAGATCGATCCCACGTGTATTGTAGGGCGCCTCCGAGCACTACGCTACATGCACCTTTCAGTACATAGGATCTACAGCGGTCATGAAAAGATATGAACAAATACAGTTTTCATCTCAGTCCTAAGGTTACTGAGTATATCAGTAAGTCCAGTATAAAAAGTATAAAAAGTAACCGAGGTGTTTTTCCAATCCATAAGAAACTCGAAGAAGAACACTAACCGTTTTTGGCTTCAATAGTTTAGTCCAAAATCTACAATGAGCAATGCTTGACAAACTCTTCACCGTAAAACCAAATGCTATCTTGTCAACGCGAAATGGACGACGTCCTCGACAGAGTTCCAAGAAACTTTTCGCTTGTTCAAATAGTACACCATGCTCCTGAATATGATAGTCATATTTCAAGAAATATATTTTTATTATATTTCAATATTATATATTTATTATATTATTTTTATTATATTTCATATTATATATCGTATTTATATTTATTACATTTCAGAGATATTTCAAGAAAATGGATATAACAAGCACCATTATTAAACACCTGCCAACAGTTTACCGCCTCGTGGCTGGGGGGTGTTGCTAGGTATAAGGCTACAACATACAGTGATGAGATTCATCTCCTCAGCCATTTACATTGGAATGCTCACCCAAGAGTAAACAAATACCAGGATTCAGTACCGTCCTGATACCAAACCAGTGGGATGGTGGCAAATCTCCCTCTGATCAACAAGGGCGGCGACGGCCTGCAGTGATGGCGACCTGAGGCAGACTTTGGCCTGGCTAACCTCGGGACTACAAGAAACAACAATGGTTAAACCAGCAAAACTCCGAAACAATGGGAATCATGCTGGGACCCGAGCAACCAATGAAGATGGGCCATCCAAGTATTCAGGTATTCAAGTATTATCAAACACTAAAAAAGAAACGCTACTCACCCCAAGAAAATCCACAACTGAAACATGAGCGTTCACCAGTAATGCCGCCAATACATTCGCAATCCACATCACACCTTCCGGTGAGCAATGTAGTTTGAACAACGCTTCGCTTAAAGGCGAAGAATAACGGTGATTACTTTATAACACAAATAGGTGAACAGTCAGGTCAATTCAAAATGATTCCGAACAACGTATTTAGAAAACTTCATATTATTTCTGACCAACTCCTACGGCCATGGAAAGCACGGTCTCTCCCTCAAGTTTACGTCCTTTTTATGAGGAACCATGAAAAATTAGGAAGTCTGATATATTCAATTAGGGTCCTTCCACTGATTTGTGTTAAATATCCTGAAAAATTCAAACATAGAAAAGCGATCGTCGTTGTCGCTCCAACGATAGATCTGTATCGTTGTTGAAAACAATATTGGTGCCGTTTTGTTCTCACGGGACGGTCAGCTTCCTCCCAACTAGGGTTGGAGGGAGATTTCGAGATTTTTTGCCGACTTTCATTTATGAAAACCAAGGTCAATAATTCTTCTTTACCTCATCATTACCTCATCGTTGTGAAACAGGGATCGGACCACAATATTCCGCCTTTGAGTATTGCCGTAGTACTCGACTTAGCGGTTGACGCTCTTTTTGAAAAAAGTGAGCAAGTTTAACTGTATGAACCTTATCCGACCACGTGAAATTTTCCGCACGGCATACATCGGATATTCCAACGAAATATTAGCATTTCTTCCTAACCGTACTGTGCAGGATCAAAGCCACTCTCTAGAATTATTTGAAGAAAAGAGCTATTTCAAGAGTTCTAGTAAAACAAATAAGGAAGTCGGCACCATTTGTACAAATACTCTTCTTGGTAACTCTAACAACCGGGGGGGGGGGGGGGTGTTCACGTATGATAACGGTCAAATTTTTCATTCTCACATCAAGATCTCCGTATTCACATGACTTGGTAACCTTTTAGACAGTTCTCAGTGAAAGTTAAAATCTTTTGCAATAATTGTTACGAATTCGGCGTTTTAGCATTGCATATAATACTGACAGATGTGGATACCAAAGAAAAGGGCACGTATGGCGCAGTGATCGAGGGCGCTCCGCAATACACATGGAATCGATCCCTGCGTCCAGGGCTCACCAAGCCTTCCATCCCTTCGCGGTCGATGAATTGGTACCAGACTCGTCTGGTAGGATGGCAGCACTGACTCGATACATCCTTAGGCCACCGCGAGTCATTGTAAAGGCCAGATATGCATTCAATCAGCTGCAACGATGCCTAATGAAGTCGAATGCATAGCGCATTCCTCAGGGACTTATCAACGCGTAGAGATTTACCTTCAATTCTTTCTATGTAATACGGACGACCTGGACGCATTTTCAGAGCTCTTAAAGGTGAAACTGACTAAGCGCTAATCGAAAACAACATTCGAAACGAAAAGGTCAAAAATAAAGTGAAACGATTAACAATAAATAGCAAAACTTCGAACTTTTTACGAAGACGACGTTTATACTTTTCGGATGCAATCGATATTTCGAAATTTCTAAAAAAAATAGCAATATGCTGTCTAGAGCGAGTGATAACACTATAGCATAGTAATCCGGACTGAGGCAGAGTTTGGCAATTTCTTCCGGAAGCAGAACATGCCAGAATATAGCTTCCTGACCTTATGACTGTGTTTCTGATAGAAGCGCTGACGGACATACTATCATCTGGAATGTGATGTTCTTTAGCACACCAGGCCGACACACGGCCAGGACAAACGAAGTTCACTCATGCTCGCCCATATTGCTCGATGAACGAGATTCCAAGTAATGGGTGGTCACTATACAGCAACATTGTGAAGAAAACCAAACACTGCCTTGAGTTGTTGTGGTGCATCATATAATAAACCGTTATAAATCATGGTCACTTGACTTCCTACCATTCTTTTCTTGAAGATTTAACACAAGTTTTACCAAAAACTAATCCATCGACCTGCCTAAAACTGTTCCATTTCTCATAACAAAAGCAGGTGCAAGCTGACTTACTCAAGTTTGTTGTCGACTGGCACTTCCGAGCAGTGCAAATACCGCTCTACCTCATCAAAAGTATCATTTTGTGCTCGTCTTACGCCAATCATAATAATGCGATCTTCTCGAAAATCAAACTGAAGTGGAATATTCATTAAGACAACTTCAGAAAAAATTTAAGACATCCATGCTAGATATAGAATAGAACGGAGTGCACTAGTTCGAAAATCCAATCAAACTTATGCATATCGATTACCACTGATTTAAGTAAGATGAAGATCCTAAGGAAAGGCCATACCAGTGAGAGAGTTATGTGGCATAAACAACTACTAGTACTAACATCTCCACAACTTCTAACAAAGGTGTTAACCTTTTATTTGCTGCCTACTATAATTTTATAATCCCGCTAACGGTTGATTGCTGATGGCAGAGTTAGGTAGAAAACTAGTTGAGAGGCATTCAAAGCAAGGGCCTCCGTGATGCAGTGTGTAATACGCGGGTGCTCGGAAAGGGTAATCGTGGTTTGATCTAGCCCTGGGTATAAGTTTTGCGAATATCTCAGCATCGTTGTGGCTGCATTTCTAACAAAGGAATTTTGCATTTTTAAGGAATAATAAATACTTACAAAGTTAACAGTAATCCTATTCACATTCTTAAGATTATGTTGTTGTTCGTTGATTATTCTGTTGAATGTCTTACAAGTACAGGCCAACGACAGCATTGTTGTCATTGGTAGCTGGCGAATAATCCGAAGCAGTACCTCGCCGGGTAGTCTTCCGAGGAAACATTGCTAAAAATTTAAAACCAATAAAAACAATTATGATAACAGATAGTGTACTATAAATTTAAGAAGGCGGACTAGAATATTCGTATTTTGCAAAGAAAACGAGTGGTATCGCTCTACTGAGCTTTTGCACTTCTTGGAATACACTCAACCATCTTTCCGGCCTATCTGCCGGCTATCTTTTTTAAACACATGAAATAATCACTTGTGCACTATCCTAGGTATATGTGCACCTAGAGGGACCTACTTAGCGCAGTGGTCGGAGGTGCCCTGGAATACACACGGAATCGATCTCCGCACCCCATGTTCACCAAGCCTTCCATCTCTCCGAGGTATGCAAATTTGTGCCAGACTAATCCGGGAGGATAGCAGCACTGGCTCACTACATCACTAGGCCACCGTGAGTCATTTTAAAGGTCAAGTATGCACACAATCACCTCCAACGATGCTTAATGAAGTCGAATGCATCTTTTATAAATTCTCTCCTGTAAAGTCCCTCTCTTATTGGTAATGTGCCGCGATAGGCAGCTGAGGAAAAACCTCCGTGGTCGCTATATGTCAAAAATGAAAGTAATTCTTAAGCTCTTAAACTATTCTACCAAATTAATCTCTACTCTTAAATATCATAAAACCGAACTTCACCATAGCAGAATGTTTTTTCGATCTTTGAAACGTCAATGAATTTTAATTAATATATAACCTGTGGTAATGATGAAAGCGACTCTTCAAGTTCGACAATTGCCGATCGTCCAGATTGAAGAATAGTCCCTATCGGTGGCAAACGGGAAAGTAATAGAACCAGCTGATATTAAAAATGCATTCATATAATGGCTATCAGCAGAAAGTAGTGGAAAACGAACTGACATACTTTTTCAACAGCTAAATCCGAGTTTTTCCTACATTCGTCTTCATAACTCGCGATTATTTCACTATAGAACAGACTAAAACAAACATTTAACCCTTCAAGGGCAAGGGCCACAATGACTTGTAGTTTATCAAAATTTTCACACTCACGTTCGAGGATCTGCCCATTCCATTGGCTGCTCAGGTGACTAAAACAGTCAAAGATATTGAAACCGACGATCGATACCACTTCAGAACTAAGAATATTAAATAAAGTGAACCTGAAATGACTCACGTCTTTCGTAGTGCAAGATTGAATCCCGCCTTTGATCTTGCTCTTCCTCGAATTAGTCATGATGCACCCAGCGTGCTGCTCAGTTAACTAAAAATGTCCCACTAACCATTAATTGCTATGAAGAACGTATAAATGAATGGACCAGCATCAGTGAATACACGGCTTCGTCTCCAAACATTAAGTCTCATATAAATGAGCGGCATAGAAGACATATTCAAACATAGAAGATGCTAAAAAACTTAACACTTGGATTCGGACGAAGGTGGGCTTCCAGGTGGGATCAACTGGGACGATGTGAGTTGACAGCAACTCATTTCATTGAACGGTGGTCTTTTACTTTGTCGTACTTGCTCTACTCAATCGATATCGTATTAGGCACGGGTAATTGTGCTAGGCATCCAGACATTAAAAGAAATGCTCTACACTTAACAACTTAATAAAATCGCAGCAGTATACTGTAGCGATTTTTAAACCTTTGTTCTAATAACATTCTATTCATGGACAACGGAAAGAACGACGATAACCTCTTAAATCGCCGTCTTAAGACGAATCTCCTAGAATATTCGTCGAGATATAGAACAAATATCGACCGCTTCCCGTCCTGTTCAGTTTACTTACTTAGATGCTAACTTTTAAAGTCATTAATTCTTCCTTCCTTTGTAATCGCTATGAGGCGCCACCATGACTCACTGCGTCATCGCGCCTGGCACTAATGAACATATCTTACCTCGCAGTACACTTAATTACTTGGATACCTAGATGGTCCGTCTTCACCTGTTGGGCGGGTCCTCAGCATAATTTCCATTGTTTCGGAGTTTTGCTGTTTAGCTATTGTGTACACTGTTCCTGGTATTGGAACCAATACCAGGATCCGTCACCATCCTAGTATCAAAGTCGCATGGTGGCGAGTCCCCCTCTGATCCACAAGGACTGCAACTGCTCGTGGTGGTGAAGACCTGGGGCAGACTTTGGCCAGGATGACCTCGGGATTCCAGGGAACCGCAATGGCTTAACCAACAAATTTCTGAAAAATGGTGATTATCCTGGGGCCTGCACAACCAGTAAGGACGGGCTGTTCAAGTATCAACTAAGTAAGTATATTGTTCACTGCAGTACTAGGGTCAGTCTAGCCAAATTCTGCCCAAGGTCGTCACCACTATAGGGAGTCACCGCCCTTGTGGATCAGAGGGAGATTTGCCACCATGCGACTACTTTGATACCAGGACGGTAGCGGATCCAAGTATCGGACCCCGGCAAACTTAACTGATTGAAATGAATACCAATAAAATCTAAAATCTCGGAAATTTTTTTACTGAAGCTCCTAAGCGGTTGAACAAGCGATGTCCATTCAACTGGACGTTATGGGGCTCCACAATGCATGGTTAATGTTCCTCCCTTAGTTCCTTTACATTTACGACTTTAGGACTTTGATGACGTTTTTTTCCAAAAATTTTTAAATATACAAACTTAAAATAGGACTTAAGATGAAAACAACACATAGACAGAGCTGCGCATATCCTTGGTGCGATAGAGCAAATTCTATTCTACACGTTTGTTACCTGCTGAGTTCCTTAACCACCTTCATTACCGGAAAATCACCTTTCTTGCGGAATTTTCGGAAAACTGGTGCCATCAACTAGGTGTAAGGCGTAAAGTTAAAGCTTTAAAAGCTCTCGGCATTGATCAATCCCTGAGGATTGCGCCATGCATTCGACTTCATTAAGCATCGTTAGAGCTGACTGAATGCATACGGGGCCTTTATAATGACTCGTAGTCCCACCGATATACTGAGCCCGTGCTGCTATCCTCCAAGACAAGTCTAGTACCAATTTGTCGATTCCAGAGGGATGGAAGACTTGGTGGGCCAGGGGCTCGGGGATCGATCCCATGTGTATTGCAGGGCGCCACCGACCACTGTGCCACATGCGCCTATTGGTCTTAGATGTGTAACAATGAATTCTAACCAGCAATTGGTCATAATTTCATTTCCAATCTCTACATCACAGAAATGTGAGAAAACACAGAACACGGAGCGAGCGTAGAAAACACAAAGTGCCGAAGTTACTAGGAAAATACCTATGAAAACCGAAGTGTAGAGCGAGAGCACAACAGAAGAGTTGGTCCTTGTTAGCGGTCAGTTGAGTTGGCATGAGTCGCTCTCAACTCACTGCGGCGAAAGTCATACGTCAATTGAGCAACAAGGATCTAATCGTCGGAGGCAACCTTACTGGTTTGAACGTGTGCTCTAACACTATAGTACTCTTCAACCATGTGAGTTAATAGTAGGATTTTGTCTTTCTTAGATAGCGGTTTTGGAGATGGAAGTCGCTCATATTCTTTAGGAGAAATGTCTAGTTAGAACGATATTAGTAGATAGAAAACTAGCTGAATGAAAGGCGAAATGAAGGACGCGGTGAACGCGTTAGGCCCCGGAAAAGGTGATATTGGGTTCGCTTCCCACCGCAGACACCTGCCGTCCGTAGTTTAGCAGATGTCTCAGCATCACTTGCTCTAGCTAGTTCAAATTACTTCACATGAAACTGGAGGCACAAGAAACAGCAGAGAGATGTTGTTGTGAGAGCCAAATAAGAGTAAGAAATGAATGTTATTCCTCAACGGTGATTTAGAACCATGCTTCTTCATCTGGCTGAAAGACAACTCACTCCAAAAAAAATGACTTGCATCACCTACTGGACAAAGTAACAGAAGTAAGGAAACCATCCACAAACAATGAGGTTATGAAAAGGCAGTAAATGAAAAGATTAAGAATGAGGTCATGTTTATTGAGCTCTTAGTAAAGTACAAAAATGAAGTCTACTACTTTATGAATTCGGAGTAAAACTCGAGAATAACAGAAACCAGAACACAATCTGTAGGCACTCTATGGCATTTTCGAGAATCAAACACAATGGGCTTATCTCGGGAAACGGATCAGGGGAAAACATTCAGCAAAAGTCTAGCCAAGCATTACTAGTTAGATGAGAATCATGAAGAACACATGCCGTTCGACAATCTAATCAGTAATACAGAACGACCAGCTTTGGAAAATAGACAGGATCAAACCTGAATAGCCACATCCACAACCTGTTATTATCTCGAACAAACCCGTTCTGAACTTGAAATGTTTAACACAACTCACATAACTTCCTAGATCTCTACCAAATTCCGGTTTTGCTACTGGAAATGTTACTACTGTCACTATTAATAAGGAAAAAAGAAACGTTAACCCACGTTTGAATTCCCTCTGACAGTTACTGCCACTGAATACAAAGTTCTAGAATATTCATATGGGTTAAACAAATACGTATTTCCTAAGAAGACAGTAGACAAAGAAACGAAGGTCCGGAAAAACATGGCTGCAATGTTGCACTTTACAAGAAATTCCTGGCAAAATCCTATATCAAAAACAACAGTGAGGATAAATTCGAAATCATCACGGAAGATGGTCAGAAAGGAAGGAAAACAAAACTTTTTCGGAAAACAAAACAACATAAACAACAGAACTCCCCAAGGAAATGTTCTACCAGAAGTTCCTAGTAAAATAAAATTATTTATTATCTCTGTCATAGATTATCATGTAGTCTTCTCATTTTGGACAGCGACTGTTCCTTCCGCTTTTCCGATTCCTCGGTGACTTCCGGAACACTGTCCACTGTCAATACTGCAAAGATGAAATAATGAAAGGACTATAACTAGAACATTTCCTTCAGGTTCTAGACTTACGAAATATAATAGTTTCAAAAGCGTACTCACGATCTAAATTCCTCTCTTGAAAAACGCCAGTAAATACGGTGCTGGTGTCCCGGAAATGGTAGCGTGTTCCTCCATTATTCATTTGTTCCACTGCTTGTTTGTCAATTGGTGACCGCTCATCGCAATTCGATAAAATTTTCCTGGCTATCGTTCCCGACGTAGAAGTAGTTAAAGTTTGGACTTCAGAAGGCTGTAAAATGGAACATTTTAAAATCCATCAATACGTTACTGAATGCTTGAGCGACTACGCTTAAATCTGCCCATCGGCAACATGGGACGGCGCCTAACTTTATGTCGTTATGACGGACCTCCTGATTTTTCGACGACAGGCAAAATATTCCTGTGGTCAAAAGTCCTGATGAAATAAGAACGTAATGGAATTATAGAAGATACTTTGGTCCATCAGTCTATGGGGATTAATGGTGTGTACGCTACTATTTACTTTACGTTACTATGTCGCCCATTATACAAACATTCCCGTCAACATGTCAATAGGGAGTGTGTAGCGCAGTGGTTAGAGGCACCCCGAGAAATACCCGTGGGATCGATCTCGCGCCCCAAATTCACCCCCACGAAGCCTTCCGTTCCACCTAGGGTTGGCAAATCGGTACCAGACCCGTCTGTGAGGATATCAGCATTCACTCGACACATCGGTAGGCCACCGCGAGTCATTGTAAAGGCCAGATATGCATTCAGTCACCTCCAACGATAATGAAGTCGAATGCATGGCGCACTTCTCAGAGACTGATCAACGCCGAGAGCCTTATCCTTTATTTCTTTTATATGGAAGCTTTAGAGCTTGTTTCACATCCATTCTCCCACTTTTTATAACCATTCATTCCATACGATAACTATTATTCTTTATAGGAATTAGAATTGAAATAATAGCCAATTGCCGGTTAAATTTCCAGTCAATGAGGGAAGCGTGGATCGATCTCATGTCTATTGGAGAGCACCTCCGACTACTGCGACCACGGGCCGATGTCAATGTCATAGGAAGCTACAATAGCAATGAATTAAGATAGGATTCATAAAAAAACAAAAACAGATAGCAAGTATTGGGTGCGGGAAGATAGTAACACAGGATTTAAGGACTGTTGAGAAACACTCTACAGCTATAGAAAACAGCTTAGAAAAAACACTCCCAGCATGACAAATTTAACACAAATGTTATTGAAGCTTGTAAATTCATAATTATAAAACTATTTTTTAAAAAGCGGAGGCTAGATGAATTTAGGGAAGTGCAACTAACTAACCGGTGCCTGTTCGTCGATCAAAGTGGTGTTTTCCAAATTCTCCGCAAACGTTACGTTTTTGTTTTTCCTCTTCTTCGCTTTCATTTCTATTTCTTCCTCATCACCGCTTGCTTTTTCAGGGCTATTCTCTCTATGCAGACCAACTGTGCTAAATGTTTCTGCCTGTGGGCCTTGCAATTGGGCATGCTTCTGATCACTATCGGCTCTATCAAGCAACGGTCCACATAGGCCTACGTTCTGTACAACGTATTCTCCAAGCCGAGCCTTTTTTGAAGGAAGATGTGAGGCGCAGTTGTTGCCTTGAACGTCAGGAAAGGTGACATCATCAGAATCTAGTTCGGATCTAAAGCAATACGATAAATATACCAAAACGTATGACCAACTAAATCATTTGGAACGAACCCTTCGTCCATACAGTCTTCCATGTGTTCGATCTCTTCCTTGTTCAATTCATTTTCACTCTCTTCTGAGATCCAGTCACTATCGCTTTCGTCGCTGTTCATAGATTCTACAAGTCCTAGAAGTTTTCGGTAGTCCTGTAAAAGATTTTGATGAATTTCGAACAACTATCCAAGTTATTGTTAACTTTTTTACTGCCTACTACAATTTTTCACGGAAGGTTATTATGTGTGACTTAGCCACAATGATACTGAGATATTTGCAAAACTCCGGACCGCAGGTGTTAACGGTGGGGAAAGAAAGCGCTATAACCCTTTCCGGGAGCTAACGTGTTCACCACCACACCATGCGAGTCCTTCGTTCCGCCTGTCTCTCAGCTAGTTCTATCGATCAGTACATCAGCAATCACCCGTCAACGGGATTGTATCAAATTCCTTAAAAAAATACGCTAGACGAAAATATAATGATAGCGATTTGCACAAAACTCCCTGTTCCACAGCTATCTTGTAAAACTCCTAGAAACTACCTGAGTGTATATCCAACCCTTACGACATTGAATACTCTTTCACATAAACTAGAAATACGCAGTCTCCATCTGAACACACGAAAGAACAGCAAGTAATATCTATGACTTAGGTCAGAGACATCTCAGAAATTTTGTAATCTCATCATAAGAAAGTACTATCAACAAACGCCACTAACTTCTGATCTGATTCCACGAGGGGGTTGAAAAGAATGAGCATACTGCACATATAACTCACGCTGCTCTTCCAACCTTTTTACAACGTCCTCCTGAACGAAAAACAGGAGGTAAGCAATCCGTTACTACATGTAACTTAGTTAAAACGGACTAAAATAACTAAGCAGTACAAGGAAGTTTGCCAACTGAGTGAATAGCTTACCCATCGTGACACATCTGGTGTGATTTCCTTTTCTAAGGACACTCCAGCAGTTTCCTGAACAAATAGAGACATTGATTCTCGCTGCAGCACAAATCCTCTTCATCCTACAGTTAAAACTTACTTTCTCGGCATTACATTCAATTGAAGTTGAAGCGATAGCTTCAATAGGAGTTAGAGTTGTAGAATCGTTATGAGGTTCACCATCATTGGAAGATTGTGGTGATGCAACGGGAATTTGAATTTCAGGGTTCCGTGAAAGAGCTGAAGACTCTGTGGCTTCCTTCAAAGCCAGAGTCGAAATAAGGCACTTAGTATCTCCCTCATCAAACTTGCGCAGTACATCTACCTGCAACCGTTACATGTCCGTCGTCCAAAAAAGAAGTTACGTGATAAACTGGACACACTGTAAGATAGCGAAAACGGAATATAGACACGATTAAATACTAATCAACATACCGGTGAGGTAGAAGGGTCAACTTCCATCTCATCGCTTGAAGAGAGGTCCAGCTCGGCGTTCCGCATCTCCTGCAGTTCCAGGTCTTCTAATCGCTTCATCATATCAGCCTTAAAAGAAATGATGGTATACAATTCCCGAAACCTCTAAACAAACTCTAGCCGACATAGCTCTCCAATTTTTCATGTCAGCAAGTGCTCCTTTTCATTACGTGTTCCAACCCATCTTTTAGTTAAGAATGAATTCAAATATATGTTGCAGTAGACATACGACTAAGATAGGTATTACAAAATTCGATGTTTTTCTTCAACAAGCAGACACGAAGTTGTTATTATAGGATTTATTAGGATACAATAGCTGACGTTTCGGCGGTTTCGTCTTCTTCAGAGCCTGGAATGGTCAAATTGAGATGCGATCTACCCAGCCAAACACTTTCATAACTCCGGCAGATACAACTTAACAAATAAATTTGTATTCGCATAAGAAACAGCTTCATTCAAACACCTACCATTTATTTGTTGTAAATATTTAAGTTATAGCCATTTCAAATGGTTACGAAACTGTAGCTTTTCGGCATAGGCATAGAGAAAAACCCACGCCCCAGAGCGATAGTTCTAGCGAAAACAAAGCTCCGTTCCCCTTGCTCTTTATTTAGAAATACCATCTGACACTCTACGACGCCAGCTAGTTCGCGACCGCCTATATGACCCTGTACGTATAACGAAAAGCTGCATAAATCGCCCTGGGAGACGGTGACTGCATGAGTTCGGGTACAGTCTATCTGATCTCTTGTAAAACGTGCGGGGACGAATACATTAGCGAAACGGGTAGACCGCTCTGCGTACGCATAAAAGAACACCTAGTCGGTAAATCTAAATTAAAACCAAACATTCCACTAGGCGCGCATAGGATGCAGGAACACAACGGATACTTTGAAGTAGGAGTCACTGTACTCACGCAGGAATCGAAAACATCAGCGCGTAAGACTCTTGAAGCGTTTTGTATCAATTCCAAAAGTTCAAAAATGAACTGCAAGGAGGAGTGTCTTGTCATCACGCGTGACCTCGCGCCATGCCTCAGGTTGATCCAATGACCTGTCCAGGTTCAGTCCTCGTCTGTGTATTTCTCTGTGCGGCTGCTATCCATCAACTAACTTATATACTTACAACAAGTAAACGGTAGGTGTTTAAATAAAGCTGTTTCTTATGCGAATACAAATTTATTTGTTAAGTTTTATCTGCTGGGGTTATGAAAGTGTTTTGCTGAGTAGGTCGCATGTCAATTTGACCTTTCCAGGCTCTGAAGAAGGCGAAACCGCAGAAACGTCAGCTATTGTATCTTAATAAATCCTATAATAACAACCTCGCGTCTGCTTATGGAAGAAAAACATCGAATTATCAATCAATGGCGAGTTTAAGAAAAAGTCGGTCATGGGCATTACAAAATTGTTTCAACATGTGGCAATGCTGCCGATGTCTTCCATCGTCACAAAACAGCCACTGATGGACTCCCATTTCAGTGCGAGTTTAAGGAAACGTCTCCCGTGTTTCGCTCCATATTCTCATGTTTGAATATTACACGACTGAGTGCAGTATAACCAAACACATATGAAATTGAAGTTTAAGCAGTATTATACATAATTTCCATTTTAAAATGTTCGGTTGGAGTTTTACACTAAAGTTATATGTGGATGTACAGAATACTAAACCGTGCCGCTATAATTCGCAAAACCGACTTTGTATAACTTGAATGCCCTGCCTTCACCGGCTGTGCGAGTCCTACCATAACTTCCACTTTTTCGAGAAGTTTTCCTGGCTTAGCCATTGTGGTTCCTTGGTGTCACGAGGTCAGCCTACTCAAAGTCTATCCCAGGTCGTCACTACCACGAGCAGTAAACGCCCTTGTGGATCAAAGGAAGATTTGGAACCACATGTCTAGTTTAATACCAGGGAAGTGGTGGATCCTGGTATTGGCTTGCCTTTAGGTGGGCTTCCTGATGAAAATACCGGACTTCTCAGCTTGGGAGACCTTGCCTGAGGGATGAATCGCCCCACTGTACATCGCAGCCCAGCACTCAGGAACACCTTTCAGCCATAATGAGGCAGTAAACCATTGGGAGGGCTTTGGAATTGGATTCTGTATTACCCTATTAACCTTAGTATTATTCAATAATTTTGTATTTTCTTATTAAGGTGATGACAAAGAAAGTGCATGGAAGCCATCGCGCAATATACATATATATATATATACATATATATATATACATGTATATATATACATATATACGTATATATGTATTTGTCTATATATATGTACGTATATATACATATATAGATAGATATAGATATGTATATACAGATATTTCCTTAACAACCTCGTAATTGCCTCTCGAGAAAAAATAAACATTCCTCAACGAATACGGAAACACATATGCAAGCTCGAAGCGCTGTCATACATAACACATATTTCTGTGACAAACACCTCAAAGATTATACGTTTCAAAAAAGGTTCTTCAACTATATTTGAAATGAGCAAGAAAAGAGAATACCTACCATTAGCAGAGTGACTTTTTTCTTTTATACCCCGTGTAAACCTTCTGCCAAAACAACAGCTCTTATGTCACACCATTCTCTGGTGCAAATTTCAAACCTTAGCACTGTGCAAATAAAACCAAGTTGGAAAGAAGAAACTAAGCTGTACTTACATGAACAGCAAAGGCGAATGTATATGATAATCACTGCAGTGTGATTCAATTTATAGGTCGTTATCACCAGACAATCATTCTTATCAACAACTAATGCCCTATATAAAAGAACATCGTTGGGTGAGTATGGCTCATTCGAGAGATGCTGCACTGAGGAAGATCCAGGTCGATGCGATGGCAAAACGACACAACGAAAAGAACAACCGTACAGCATCGACTTGGATCACCGGCCGTGATGAAGACGCAGACGTCGAAACGTTAGCCAAATAAAAAATTATTTTTCTACTTCTGTTCAGCAAGCACGAGGTGCTATTTTATTTCTTTATTTACGCACAAGCTGACGTTTCGGCTGATTTTGCCTTCCTCAGAGCCTGGAAGGGTCAACTTGACAGCAATCCACTCGGCCAAACACCTCCATAACCAAACAGGAAAAACGCTAAGCCAAGATTTCAATCACTTTGAACACAACTTTGCACACTCACCGCTTCCTATGAGGTTTCCACTAAGTATGTCACGTAGAGACCAACCGCACAGAAATCACATGGAAGTATGATGTGCCCCTCCCATCAGAATAAGTTCCAGAATAAGTTTATTGTTCTCAGTGGAAAACTCATAGAAAGCGGTGAGTGCGCAGAGCTATGTTAAATGTGATTGAAATCTTGGCTTAGCGTTTTTCCTGTTTGGTTATGGAGGTGTTTGGCCGAGTGGATTGCTGTCAAGTTGACCCTTCCAGGCTCTGAGGAAGGCGAAATCAGCCGAAACGTCAGCTTGTGCGTAAATAAAGAAATAAAATAGCACCTCGTGTTTGCTGAACAGAAGTAGAAAGATATATTCAATCAGTGCCGAGGTTAATAGAAAGTCGGACTTGGGAGTTACTAAAAAATTATTTATCAACCTTGTGGCTTATCAAAGAAAGATATTATCAAAACAACTCAAACAGAGCGCACGGCATTGCGTATCACGTTCGGTGATTATCACAGTGTCTTAAAGTTGATCAACTCTAGTACCAGAAGCCCTCCTGTCTTAAACGGAGCATGTGATTCTTCCTTTCCCTTCTCTTACTTGAACAATGGTTACCACTAGGACTAAGCAGTAGTACAGAAACGATGAGTGTTCTTCTCAATTCGGGCATAAACTTCCTAAACCTCATGGAACTCAATAATTCTCAGATGCATGCATGCTCCATGCAGCGACAAACCTTAAGTTACGTTCATGGAAAAACTGAAACAATTTCGTCGACATAGCACATCAGATTCCCAAAACCGTGAAGGAACACGAATGGCCAAAAGTTGTTAAATCTGACTTCAGTGTTTCCTTGAACAAGCAAGAGGTTATTCTTGTTTCTTATTCTTTATTTGTGAACAAGCTAAGTTGGGGTGGACTTCGCTTTCTTCGCTGGCTGGAAAGGTTAAGCGGACTGCGACCTACCCGGTCAAACACCTCCATAACCAAACAGAGTAAATACTCCACCAAGAGTTCAATCGCATCGAAAACAAAAGTAGCCCTTCTGTACAACGCCTTCTATGAGTGCTCCACTGAGTACTTTATGTGGAAATCAACCGCACAGAGTTTACATTGAAGTGTAATTTGTCTCCTTCACATTAAAATTCTAGTCTTAAGTACTGCGTGAGATCACCCGAGATAACGAGGCGTTCCTCCCTGCGGTTCATTTTCGGATTCCTGGAAGCTATCTAGGATGCTTCGCGAGTTCCACGGCAGAAGTTTTTGATTCCTGTGCGAGAATGGTAACTTCTATTTGAAAATCCTCTCCGTTATGCTTTTGCCTTATGAGACCACTGTGAAGAAAAACAATTTCAGCAATTACCTAGATATTTGCTTCGATGTTCAAAAAGATGAAGCATTCGCGAGCATCAAACAGTAGATACTGCATTCGACACCCAGCCAACTTCTAATTGCCAATTTTCAGGCTACACTGATACTATAACTTTTGCCGCTGAAACAACATCTTATTTCTACACGGTAACTTTCATCGGAATTTTCAATGATCGAGTGAAATCGCCCTCCATCACCCGCCCTTCCAATGAAATGGGTATCAATTTTCTGATCGCAGGTAGCAGTAACTTTCTTCTATTCGTCCGGCTTAGTCGCCTTTTTAGGGAATATCTTCCAACTATGACGACCGAACGAACCACATAAGTAATAAGGAACGAAAGAGAACAAAATGTACCCTCGGGAAGAAGCGATAAGTGACTCGAATAAGAAATGAAGAAGTAAAACACAACGCTTATAAAATCTATTGCAGGTTGAGGAATCCATTTTACTCAAAAACCAAATGAAACAAAGCAACAGCTTTGAAGAGATTGGATCACTTATCTATAGTATAAAGAACAAGGCACAACACACCTCTGCATTTAGGTCAGCCACAGTTTTAGTAATAACTGGAGGAACTGCAACTCTGGATCTTCGCTTCTCTGTCAAAAAAAAAGAAATTATAAAACAGATCTTATTCTATAACATCCAATTATAAGCTAGTTGTTATTAGCATACTAACGAGTATATTCTTTGAAAACAAAAATTTTGCTTTGTGATAAACAATACACTGATTTTATTAAGCCTTATACACATAAGGGCGGGCGTAACGCAGTAGTCGAAGGTGCCCTGCAAGACACATGGGATCAATCGACGCACCAGAGGCTCACAAACCTTCCAACCCTCCAGGGTCGGAAAATTGGTACCAGGCTTGTCTGCGAGGATACCAACACTGGCTCGATACATCGGCAGCCCAACGGGGTTCATTTTAAAAACTGGATATTGTATGCATTCACCTTCAACGATACTTATTGAAGTCGAATCGAATACATGGTGCACCTTTCATGGATTGATCAACGCAAAGAGCTTCGTCCTTTTTTATACCCGTATTCAACTCTACCCACTGTAAAAACGTCTTAGAAAAAACACATCAACACTCTACCGCTCATATCTTCATAAGCACCATATCAATCTGCAACAAACCAGTCTACAGTGATAAGTTCGGTTGCAAGAAGCTAGCCCGAAAACATGTTATGATTACAGCATATAGCTGGACATGCACGATGTTTATCTTAGCCAATACCATGCACTATCTGTAAGCGATCAGTCAATAAAAAGAATAAAACTCTCGGTGTTGATCAATTACTCATGGATGCGCCATGCATTCGACTTTGTTAAGCATCGTTGAAGATGACGTTTAACCTTTACAATGACTCGCAGTAGTCTACTGATGTATCGATGTACTGCTACTCTCCCAGACAAATTTGGTCCCAATTTGCCGATCCAGGGGTGATGGAAGGCTTGGTGAGCCTGAAGAGCGGAGATCGATCCCGTTGTGCATTGCAGGGCGCCTCTGACCACTGAGCTACACGTGCCCGCGACAAGTGCAATACAATGGAAAAATGGCCGAATTTGCTGCTGTAAACGTTTCATGCTGTTAGAAATATTCTTTCCCACAAATTTACCAGTAACACTAACTAGTTTTCACCCAATGACCTTTCCTGCTCGTTGCTTAACTTGAAAGAAACTATCAGACATTTCGAGACTAACAAAGCATGTCAGATTTTGAAAATATGTTTACAAGCTTAGAAATGATCGACCTACTCCTTAATTCGTTTTCTTTAGACTCATCGTATTCTTCACGAATTTCAACTACATCCGAATTCTGTAAAAAATCAACACCTCTAAAAATAATGGTCCAGATTTTGCACACCACGTGACAAAACTCACGTTATCAAACAACTGCTTGGCAAACTCCATCTGCTGGATGATGATGTTTTCATACTGATGAAGATCACTGATGTTTTTTTCGATAACTAAAACATGTCCATCATCCACACTTAAAGTCTCCTATCTGATTAAATTCCAGAAATAAAAAGCCAACCAGTTTTTCGCCTCTTTAAGATTCCTACAGCATCAAAAGCAGTTGTGTCAATGAAGTAACCATCTCCTAGTCCAACAAGAACTTCATTCGTATGGACGATAGTGGCTGGCAAAAATCCAACTGATCCAACAGGACACTTAAAGCAAGAAGTAAAACGTTTAAGAGAATAGAATACCCAAAAAAAGCATAATCTGAGAGTTATTTCTAGAACAAGGGATGACAATTTATTAACTGAATTAACCCTTTCCTCTTACCATGATGGCACGCTCTCGTTTCTTCGGAAGTTCTTCGAGGCAATGAATGAGACTATCGTATTCGCCTAACTCTCGTTGCTTTGCGTCAAAGCGACTTTTTATAACTGCCAAAGCCTAAAAACTAATAACAATCACTTTAGAATAACAAGGAGTTCGTATACTTATTCGACATGGATAACGGATAAAAGGGTAAAGCTCTCGACGTTAATCTATCCCTGAGGGATGCACTATGTTTCTGACTTCATTAAGAATCGTTAGAGGTGATTGAATGCATCTCCAGCCTTTACAATGACTCGTGGTGCCATGTAGATGTATCCAGCCAGTGCTGCTATACTCCCAGAAAACTATGTCACCAATTTGGCAAACTCGGAGGGATGGAAGACTTGGTGTGCTTTGGGGGCGGGGAACGGTCCCGTGTGTACATGAGTGCGCTACCGACCATTGCGCAACATGCGCCTTCGACATGGAAGACCCAAAATATAGTGAAATTCATAATGCTGTCTTTCCAGAAATTCAAAGCCTGCTTATACGTTACTTGTATTTCTAGGAATAAAAACTTCAACAATTAAAGGCGAGCGTAGCGCAGCGGTCACAGGCGCCCAGTCATACATCCTCGCGCTCCAAGCTCACTCAGCTCTCCATCCCTCCAGGGTCGGCAAAATGGTACCAGACTTGTCTGAGAGGATATCAGCACTGGCTCGACACATCGATAGTTAACTGCGAGTCATTGTAAAGCCCAGAAATGCATTCAATCACCTCTAACAATGCTTAACGAAGTTGAAAGCATGGCGCATCCTTCAGGGATTGATGAAGGTCGTTTCAACACAACATTCTCAATAAGGACTTTCGGTAACCAAACGAATCCCCAACGAACGCTTTACACCCATTGTTATCTATAACAGGCACGAATTCAAAAATGGAAAGCTGTTAGACGTCGATGTGTCGACCTACTCGAACCTACGAATACTCGTGGGAAGAAAAGAAATCCTAAAAGCTTACACAATTTATATCATGCTACGATTTGGATGATTGCAACTTTTATAACTGGATTTACGGATGACGTTATCCACCTTGGAATCCTAGGCTTGAAAATTTTCACTGGAGAAACTGAAGAACTAGTAGCGTCACTGTCGAGATTCTGGCTTAGAGTTCGAGTTTAAACCCTTAGGAAATTGCCCCAAACAAAAATAAGGGAGAATAACAAAAGTTCACACCTGAATCCCTCGTGTAAGTAGAAAGACAAACCACTAAGTCTCAGGCTAAAATAAACTTGTGTCTGTGCGATTCTGGAAAAGTCCCTGACGATTGTCTACTTTCTGCACAAGTACTCTTATGATATGGCGTACTATAAGCTTCAACAAGGCCGTTTGCTTAGCTTTTAACGAGACTACGGGAATCTGAGGAGAGTAAGATAGCCTGATAAAGGTGATAACGGAAGTTCTAGCCTGATTTCATGAGTTGACACCTGTAAATAAAAGTATGTCTAGAGAGTAACTGAAGCCAATTCACCTTATCTGCTGCATCTCTAAACGCCTTCATTCGTTCCTGGTTGAGTGTAGCTATCGACGACGACATTTCTTCCGTGAAAAATGTAAGAACCCTAGAGAAAGACCGCTCATAAGTGGAAGGAGTCAAATTCAAATTACGTTGTCCGCAATTGCACAAGTTTTTATCCACAAATCGGGTCTCGAAATGTGAAATGCATTTGTTTTGAGGCGTTTTTATTGATACAGTTTATGTTCTAAAACCAGCTTTTCTTTAGTATTGGTATGGCTAATCAATATGTATTCTTTCTCCGACAAGCTTATACAAGGTCGGTAAATAATGTTTATTTTCGGCTCTTTTGACGTCTTCGTCTTCATCAGAGCCGATAATCCGAGTCGAAGGTCCGTAGTTATTCATTTTCTCGGTGTGACCACCTCATCTTTGTAGCGAGCCGGATCTTCCTCGATGGCGCATCTCTCAAATGAGGTATTCTCACCCGGCCACGCTCTTTTGTACAGGACGTTATTGGTAGTAGTGATTGTCTGGATTATGTTCTTATTGCATACATTGGGTTGGGGAACGCAATGGTAGAGATGCCACTCAAAGATACGCACAAACTCACTGGTTTGGCCCGTCCCGTGCCGAGCAAGGCACCCACTCATCCGGAGGCGGTAAATTTGTACCAGACTAATCTCGGAGGGCAGAAATACTGACTTCATACACTTGTAGGACATTAAGAGCGGTCACAGAGGTCAGATATGCCTTTATTACGGATGTCCCTTATAGGAGGATCTCATGTCGGATAGACACAAGGCAGCCTAGCAGGTCCCAACGTGGTGGGTTAATCGCGGACTAAGGGACCTTGTTCCCATGAGACGCATGTGGATACACTCCCTGATCCTGCTCCGCCGATTTGGCATTTGCTTTCTAAATTTACGAGGCGTATTCATGAATGCGTGTGTGGGTTCGTTCTAGTTTATGCAGATTCTATTCTACAAGCCAGTTCGGCCAAAATGCTGCAATGAGATGACAAGGAACTATATGGGAGACGGTTAGGAGTCGCCTCCAACAAATAAGCTCCATGTTCACTCTGGGAGAGAGTGCCAAGGTACCCGTGATTATACCCAGCCCCACGTTCAGAGCCCAGCAAGCTATACGTTGATATCAAAAACCTAAACATAGTAAAAGAAACGGGCCTCATTTTCCTGACCCCGAAAGAGCCCTTGATTCGGCAGCATAGGGTAGGACGAGCACGGAGAGGCTGCTAAAATCTCAGGGCCATTCTAAGCTGCCTTAATCGCAAAGCAATATGGTAACGATCTATACCCACAATGCACGCACGCTTACATGCGACTCCTCGATAGGAGACTTGATCATGCAAGCGAGACGGATAAGGTACGACGTCACATGCCTGCACGTGAAGAGACGACGCCACCCATTCAGCGCCGTCTATGACACTGGAGAATTGTTCCTTGGAGCATGCGACAGAGCAGTCGGCGTTCTTGTCAACAAGAGTTTGTCCATGAACATTAGTTCATTCGAACAACTAACAACCCGAATCGGGCGTTTACGGTTAGAAACATGTGGAATCAATATCAATACCGACTTTGACAGTTCGTCGTTTACGCTCCGACATCAAACTATGACGAAGAAGAATCCGAAGCGTTCCATATAGACTTGGAGAAGCTCTGCAGAGAAGACCATACATTTTTCAAGGTTATCTTTCGAGATTGTAACGCTAAGATTTGACCAAGAAGAACATCTGAAGAACGTCACATTAGGACCCACGGGTTAGAATGGAACGAACAGGGTGAGCCTCTCTTTGAGTTTATCATGACGACAAAGACCATGGTAACTCGCAATTCCAGAAGCCCCACACTCACCGCTGGCCGTGGGAGTCTCCCAATGGAGAGTTCCATAAGAAAATACACCACACCATAGAAATCGAAGGTTTTGCTTTACCGATGTCTCTGTAGTCCCAAAATTCTGCACGAGACCAAACCATTGCCTCATTCGTGCAAGATTTCATTTTTCGCGGAAAGGAGAAAAGCAACTAGAAGCAAAAACAAAGTCCCAAAACAACCGTAAACTGTGACTTATTCAATTCACTAGTTGGCTGTTAGGAAGATGCCGTTATCAATAACATCGACGAAGTATACGATCGGCTCATTAAACATCTTCACGTTAGCGATATAAAAGCTGAGAGTTCGAAAGTCACCAGGAGACGTTTGTCTCCAGAAACATTGGAGCTGATATACCAACGTGAAATCGCACCGGCTGCAGGCAACAGCTGACTGACGTCCGAATTTGCAGTACAATGCTGGGAGGCAATAAAAGAAGCTCTTAAAAAGAGAAGGGCAGCAGTTATGGTTGAAACATCAGAGGCTGGAAAAAGCATTCGCAAAGCCCACCGAAGCCACCAATTGCAAGACCAGGATGATCGCACTACGACGCCAGATGGGACGGTTACAGCATCCAGAAAATCAATGGAGAAAATCTTTTATGAATACTACTCAGATCTCTTCGATAACCACGTCGTATTCCCCTCATATGAAATATCCGAGATCCGACATGCTATTTTGTCGGTGAAAAATTAAACAACACTAGGTCCGGAAAAGGTAAGATCTGAACACTTGAAGGACCTTTCGCTAGTCCTCATAAACACACTAGCTCGGCTCTTCACACGTTACTTGTCTGAATGCAAGGTCTCTACTCAATGGAAGACCGGCAGGACCGTGTAATTGTCAAAGAAGAGTGACCTACACAATATCAGCAACTATCGCGCAATCTGCTTGCTGTCTGCCGCCTACAAACTTTTCGCTCGAGTCATCTTAAATAGGATTGACAGAACACTGGACGAAGGTCGTTCATGTGAGCAAGCAGGGTTTCGAAAAGGATTTAGTACGATGGACCACATCCACACAATGACAAGATTCATTGAAGCATCGTGAGAGTACAAAAGACCGCTTTGCCTCGCTTTCGTCGGTTTAAAGAAGGCTTTTGATTCAATTGAGATAGAAGCAGTCATGGAAGCCCTTGATATTCAAGGAGTCCCTACTCAGTACGTAAAGAATCTTCGTGAGTTGTACAAGAATTTCACAACCAAGATGTCACCATTCTACAACGATATTAACATCGACGTCAAAAGAGTGGTTTGGCAAGGCGATACCATCTCCCCAATATTATTCACCGCTACCCTCGAGAACGTCGTGCGAGCATTATAGTGGGATAATATGGGAGTGAAAATCGGTGGTCGGGGATAACATAGTCTTCGCTTTGCTGATGGCGTCGTTCCTGTAACGTTAAGCAATGGCTGTGCAGAAGGAATAATTGCCGACTTTGAAAACGCTTCTGGAAAGGTTGACCTTCGACTAAATCTCACACGCACGATGTTCACGAGGAACGGTTTGGTTTCGCATGCTCCTTTCACGATGAAAAGAATGAATATTTCCGAATGCTTTAGTGCATCAGTCTAAGTTTAGAGGGCACTCGACAAAGTGTTCCATATTTATTGCTACATTGACACTTGTAATGTGCCAAGAACAAAGCATTTGTTGCCAAGATATAAACAAATCACCTACAATCATTAAATGCCTTTTAGGCCTGTCCATTGATTGATCCATTGTGACGTAATTCCTCTGATAGCTTAATTTTCCAATGAACACCAAAAAATGTATATACCAATTTGTCTTGATGAACCCATAGGCAGTATTCCATCATTTTCAGCACTAGGTTTCGGTCTTTATCGATACTCGGAGTTACATACATACTCATACAGCGCCCATGGTGGATGGCTACCGTTTAAATCGATGACGTTAGAAAAGAACCAACTCTGGGAAAGATTTCCCCAATAACCGTTTGAATGTAGGAGTGTAGTGCAATGGTTAGAGGCGCCCTCCAATACACATGGATTCAATCCCACGTCCCAGGTTCACCAAGCATTCCATCCTACCGCGGTTACCAGTTCGTAGCAGATCCGTATGGGAGGATAGCAGCACCGATTCGATACATCGGGCGTTTACGGAAGGGTGAACGGGCGGGACGAAGCATCCATCTTCCCTAATTTTATATAAAGGCAGGAGAAGGTGGTTATTGAAGAGATCTGAGTAGTAATCATGGATGATTTTTTCATTCCCAAGACCGACTTTTTGTTAACCTCGGCATTGATTGATAATTCGATGTTTTTCTTCAATAAGCAGACACGAGGTTGTTATTATATTAATTTACTAGGATACAATAGCCGACGTTTCGGCGGTTTCGCCTTCTTCAGAACCTGGAAAGGTTAAATTAAGATGCGATCTACCCAGCCAAACACTTTCATAACACCAGCAGATAAAACTTAACAAATAAATTTGTATTCGCATAAGAAACAGCTTCATTTAAACACCTACCGTTTACTTGTTGTAAGTATTTAAGTTAGCTGATGGATAGCAGCCGCACAGGACTACGTACATGGGCGAGGACTGTGCCTGTGTCAAGTCATTGGATTAGCCTGAGGTATGGGGCCAGGTCACGCGTGATGACAAGACACTCCTTGCAGTTCATTTTTGAATTTTTGGAATTAATCCAAAACGCTTCAAGAGTTTTACGCCCTGATGTTTGCGATTCCTGCGTGAGTACAGTGACTCCTACTTCAAAGTATCCGTTGTGTTCCTGCATCCTATGCGCGCCTAGTGGAATGTTTGGTTTCAATTTAGATTTACCGACTAGGTGTTCATTTAATCGGACGCAGAGCGGTCTACCCGTTTCGTCAACATATTCGTCCCCACACGCTTTGCAAGAGATTAGGTAAACCGCATCCGAACTCATGCAATCACCATCTGTACTGTTAGGGAAAATTAAGCAGTTTTTCGTTGCATGGAGACGGTCGTATTATTTCGCTGGAAATAAAGGGCAAGATTGGTGGAGCCTTGTTCTCGCTAGAATTGTTGTTTCGGGGCGTATTTTTCCCCTTATTCCTATGCCGGCGAGCTAGAGTTTCGTAGCCATTAGAAATGACTATTTGCCGAGCGAATTTCGAGGATTCTTCCTTCTGCTCTCCACCTGTGCACATGCTGGTGGCGGTTTGAAATATATTCCTTATAAGCGCC